TTCTGCCTACTTGTGCTCTCACTTTGTCTCTCTCTCAAATAAATAAAATCTCTAAAAAAAAAAATGCTTAAAGGAAAGAAGATACTGAAAAGATGATCAAGAAACAAAACGGGGGGCACCGGGGTGGCTCAGTGGGTTAAGCCTCTGCCTTCGGCTCAGGTCGTGGTCCCAGGGTCCTGGGATCCAGCTCCGCATCGGGCTCTCTGCTCAGCAGGGAGCCTGCTTCCCCCCCCTTTCTCTCTGCTTGCCTCTCGGCCTACTTGTGATCTCTTTCTCTGTCAAATAAATAAATAAAATCTTAAAAAAAAAAAACAAAAAATGGGTTGCCTGGGTGGCTCAGTAGGTTAAGTATCTGACTCTTGATTTCAGCTCAGGTCATGATCTCAGGGTGTGAGATCCAGCCCCACAATCAGACCCTTTGCTGGGCGTGGAGCCTGCTTAAGATTGTCTCTCTCCATCTCAAAAAAAAAAAAAAAAGAAGAAGAAAAAGAAAGGGTGGTGCCTGGGTGGCTCAGTGGGTTAAGCCTCTGCCTTTGGCTCAGGTCATGGTCTCAGGGTCCTGGGATTGAGCCCCGCATGGGGCTCTCTGCTCAGCAGGGAGCCTGCTTCCCCGCTCTCTCTCTGCCTCTCTGCCTACTTGTGATCTCTCTCTGTCAAACAAATAAATAAAAAAAAAAAAAGGAAAGGAAAGGAAAGCATTGGTTAGATAGATTTGATAAAAGAACCAAACAGAATTTTAAGAAATGAAAATTATTTTAAAAGAACTTAGAAATTTAGTGGACAAGTTAAATTCATCTTAGAAACAGATGAAGAGAGAATTGATGAACTGGAAGAAAGATCTTAAGAAATCACTCAGGGTGTAATTTCTTAGACAAAGAAATAGAAAATGGGAGATTGATACAAAGAGAGGTGGAACATAGTATGAGAAGGTGTGCATATTTTATTGGCATTCCAGAAGGAAACAATAGAGCAGTTAGTTGATGGAGAGGCAGAGTTTGAAGAGCTAACGGCTAAGAATTTTACAGAATTGATGCATTGGATTTCAGAGCTCAGTGAATCCCAAAGAGATTAAATAAAGAAGAATTTCACACTTAAACTGATGATTGTGAAACTGTAAATCACCATTGACAAAATTTAAGGAAAAAGATTAAGAGTGACAACTAGAATGATGGCAAATTTCTGGTCACCAACTTTTGTACAAAACAAGGCAGTGGGAATATCTTTTTTTTTTTAATATTTTTTTTTCTTTTTTAAGATTTTATTTGAGAAGAGAGAAAGCATGAGAGGGGGAAGGTCAGAGGGAGAAGCAGACTCCCTTCTGAGCAGGGACCCTGATAAGGGACTCGTCCCAACACTGGATCACAACCTGAGGTGAAGGCAGTCTCTCAACCAACAGAGCCACCCAGGCACCCACTGGGGATATCTCTAATATGCTGAAAGGGAATGTGTACCTTGTAAGAATTCTTTATACCAAGAGAAAAAAAGAGAATCTGAATTCTTTACACAGCAGAGATAGAAGGTAAAAATAAAGGCATTTTCAGAGAAGGCACAACTTAAAAGAGTTGACTAAAAAAGTAATGAATAATGTCCTTGCAGAAGAAGGAATGTGATTCCAGAAGAAAGTTGTGAAATGTGAGAATGAATTATGTTCAAAGGAAATCGACAACGGCACCTGGGTGGCTCAGTGGGTTAAGTCTCTGCCTTTGGCTCAGGTCATGATCCCAGGGTTTTGGGATCGAGCCCCGCATCAGGCTCTCTGCTCAGCAGGGAGCCTGCTTCCCCCTCTCTCTATGCCGGCTTCTCTGCCTACTTGTGATCTCTCTCTCTCTGTCAAATAAATAAAATCTTAAGAAAAAATACATTTATTTAAATTTAATAAATATTGACTGGTATAAAACTAAAATAGTATAAAATAGTATATGTTAATATATACAGGCACAAAATACATGAAATAATCTTTGATGTTAATGTACTACACAGTGTAACATTCATGCTCTAATTTGAAAAAAGTTTTTTAAAATTTTATATTTTTTATGACTCAGGATTTAAGGTAATACTTCAATGGAATGCTTTATTAGAGAAAAATATCCCTGATCTGAGTATTGTAGCAGATCATGTTCCCCTATAGCCCATATCCATGCTTACATACTTTTTTGCAATTATAATAATCTGTGAGCTGTAATCATTTGTGATTAATACTAACTTCACACTTGGGGTGCCTGGGTGGCTCAGTGGGTTAAAGCCTCTGCCTTTGCCTCAGGTCATGATCCCAGGGTCCTGGGATTGAGCCCCCATCGGGCTCTCTGCTCAGCGGGGAGCCTGCTTCCCCCCTCTCTCTCTGCCTGCCTCTCTGCCTACTTGTGATCTCTGTCTGTCAAATAAATAAATAAATAAATAATCTTTTGAAAAGATACTAACTTCATACTTAATCTGTTTGTCTTTAGTTGGATATATTATTTCTCACATAGGATAATCTGGAAAAGGGAGATAGTAATATAAGTACTAATTCCTAGCCCATAGAATTGCTTAACATTCTTGCTTTTGTTGTGGTGATGCGGTTATTTTTTTTTTTTTCACTTCATTTTGTGAAAGCATTTTCCATTTTTATGTTTTCATATTTCAGCAACCATACCAATGCACATTGTTGCACATTGTAATTTCTCTGGAAACTGGGATACATCTTAACAATATTTGATGTCATAGGTTAATTAACAGCAATTTTTCTTTGATATAGTAGTACCCCTTTAGATTTTATGAACTATGGTAATGTATCTTTTTATCATTTTGAATAGCCGTGTAATACTTAGTGTATTACTGTGTAATACACTCAGTATAATACTGAGTGTGTCATTGTTTCCTTTATTTCTTGTCTGTTTGACTGGGTTATTTCCATTTTTGGCTCTTATAAATCGAATATGTGAGAATATGAGGTGTACCATCTTATACAGTCTCTGTTAAAGAATGAGTGTGCTGGCCGCCTGAGTGGTTCAGGTCATGATCCTGGGGTCCTGGGATTGAGCCCTGCATTGGATTCCTTCTGCTTCTCCCTCTTCCTCTGCTCTTCCCTCTGCTTGTGCTCTCTTGCTCTCTCTGTCAAATAAATAAATAAAATATTTTTTTAAAAATGAAACACTAATGTCAGAGCTGGGTTTTTTTTGTTGTTGTTGTTTTAAGATTTTATTTATTTGACAGAGAGATCACAAGTAGGCAGAGAGGCAGGCAGAGAGAGAGAGGGAAGCAGGCTCCCCACTAAGCAGAAGCCCGATGCGGGGCTCGATCCCAGGACCCTGAGATCATGACCTGAGCCAAAGGCAGAGGCTTTAACCCTCTTAGCCACCCAGGCGCCCCCAGAGCTGGGTTTTTAATTCAGGTATGATTCTAGATTACAGGGGAATTTCATGGGACATAATTAATTGCAGAAGTACAGTCAGGCCTCCCAGAAGCTGTCTTCTTAACTAAACTCTGTCTGGGAGCTCTGCAGTTCTGCCTACCCAGAGGCCTGCTTTGATTGCCATGTTTAGTGTTGGTAATACTATAAAGGCTTTTTTTTTTTTTAAATCACCCCATGAGCCAGAGCCAGTGGTAAGAACTCCCTCTAGGTAGACAAAATTTCTGACAAACTTAAATGATAAATTCACTTACTTTTCATGAAAGCTGAATTCCCAGTATCTGCAGGTCATAAACTTGAATAATTGATTCTTTGCCCTTTGAATTTACCTTCTGGTGCCTGTCATCCAGGGGAGAGGCCTAAGGCTGAGAAGATTGTTAAAAGTGATTTTCTGAACAGGGTGTAAGCTTTCTGAAAGGTCATTAATGCACTTGAGAAGGATCGAGTCCTTTTGTTTGGTTGAATGAGGTAAAAGAAGTAAATTTAAATGATGTATGTAGAAGATTACTTTAAATGTCAGTTATTTTGTGAACATTAAGAATATACACTTTCAGGACAAATGGAAAAAAACAATCTAATAAAAGGCAGATTGCTGTTTTGGGTTTTTTTTTTGTTTTTGTTTTTAAGATTTTATTTTTAAGGGGCGCCTGGGTGGCTCAGTGGGTTAAGCCTCTGCCTTCGGCTCAGGTCATGATTCCAGGGTCCTGGGATCAAGCCCTGCATCAGGCTCTCTGTTCAGCAGGGCAGCTGCTTCCTCCTCTCTGCCTGTTTCTCTGCCTACTTGTGATCTCTGTCAAATAAATAAATAAAATCTTAAAAAAAAAAAAAAGATTTTATTTTTAAGTAATCTATACACCCACCATGAGGCTCGAACTCATGACTCCAAGATCAGGAGTTGCGTGCTCTATCTACCAGCTGAGTCTGTCAGATGCACCAGATTGCTGTTTTTGATTTGGGAAAAATTTCCAGTGATAGAATCATTCAGACTCAAAGATCTCTGTCACAGGATAAATGGCAATCAAAATTACATTCTCTGGAAAATCATTCTAGATAACTCAGTTTGCTATAAATACACACAAAAAAATAATGCCAAAGATCACTGAATAGTTTGAATACATTTTATGACATTTGCAAGTATATTGGGGTAAAGCAGCATTTCTATGTTGATTGTTTATAGATATATGTTTTTTATTGTATAGGTAGCTAAATTTTATACATGAACATTTCAAGTCCATCTCCTTAAAAAAATTTATTTTCAGGGTGCCTGGGTGGCTCTCCCTTTGGCTCAGGTCATGATCCCAGGGTCCTGGGATCAAGCAAGCCCCACGTCGGGCTCCCTGCTCAGTGGGAAGCCTACTTCTTCCTCTCCCTCTGTTTGTGTTCCCTCTCGCTGTCTCTCTTAAAAAAAAAAAAAAAAAACAACACCTTAAAAAAAATGATTTATTTTCAACATGAGCCCAAAACTTTGCAATTTTATTTAATATTTGTTATTAAATTACTTAATAATATTGGGGTTTCTTCACGTTCAAGTAAAATCAAAGTCTGTTATCTAAATTTGTAATTTTAATGCATTTACTTTTAAAGTTTACAAATAGATCATTTGATTATTTAGCAGGTAACATCTAAAGGAACTGGTTTAAATCCTAATGCCAAAGTATGGCAAGAAATTCCTCCTGGAAATAGTGATGCCACTCAAGTAACTCATGGAACTGAAAGCTCTTGGCATGAAACAGCAGCCACATCAGGGTCTCATCCTGAGGGTATGTCCTAAATGTTTCATCAGTACAAATCATGTTTTGGTTAAATAATGACCAAATCGGTTTATAGAACTTGGGGGTATATCTTTTGATTATTTGATTAAATATATTTATAAATGTTTAACATGTAGTTTGTACACAGTTTTTACTTTTAGTATGAATGAATTGTCACTATTTCACATAGTAGCTTTATCTTTGGGTCTAGCATTTAACTCACTTATGATATGGTAGTTATAAATTAGTTTTGATATATTATCATTGGCAATGCTGTTTACTCACTGTTTGACTTTGGGTAAATGACCTAACATCTCTGTGCTTGTTTCTTTCATCTGTAAAACATTAATAATAATTACTTTTGGCATAGGATTTTCTTGAGAATCAAGTGAATTAAGTACATGAAGCTGCACATAGATAGTACATAGATAGTGCTATATGAGTTTAAACTGTTGATAATCATTTTAGTTTGTCCATAATGGTAATCTTAATCTTCCTCAGGAAGAGAACTCTTACTACAGCCATGTGGACATTATCTCAACTGGGAGAAGTCCTTAAAATCTTACTATAGAAGACTTAGTGCCCAGAGTTCCTAAAGATAGGATTTAAAGAATTCCTATTTACTTTCAGTATATTTTCTTTAATACAGGTAATACAGAGCTTTCAGATGATATGTGTAAGGAATATGAAGTAATGTATTCATCTTGTGAAACCACCAGAAATACAATAAGCATTGAAGAATCAACTGATGGAATGATTTTAGGGCCAGAAGATCTGAGTTATCAAATATATGACATTTCTGGTAAACTTTATGCTTTTATTGGTAAAACGAGCATACAGTACACTAGTGTTTTTCCCTTTACATTCTATCATTGTTCTAATAAAACTTTGGCATTGATCGATCCGTTTTCTTATTTGAAAAGAACTTTATGTTAATGAAATGCTTTGTTATTTTTATAAATACTGTTTTCAGATGACAAACATGAAACGTGATTTTAAAAGAATGTTTAAAGGTCCTATTAAAAGTATGAAATTAAAGATAAAAGGAAAAAATAGTCAATATAGTTAAAAGGGAACTAAATTATGATTTTTCAGAGAGCCCAAGTTTCTTAGTCTGTTAGTTGGGATCAGTGCAAATTCTGTCAATTTCCCATTACTTTTCTTCGTGTGGAGTGCATTTACAAATGTGAAGCTGCAGGGATTAATTTTAAGAAAATGGCTGTATTATGTATGTATTAAATGGTTCTACTACAGTCCAACTTGTGAAATATTTTTTTTTCATAATTATTTAAGTAGCATGGGTTAGTAGTTGGCTTGGATTTAAAATGGATGAGATTTAAAAGAAACTAAAAATGGACCAAAGACCCCAACTACCTAACTTAATTTTTCTAATTTAAGGGATCTCTCTGGAAAACAATTGTAATAGGGAGTGCTCTATTCTGTTGCTGCTTAGTTCTGTGACTTCAGTCAAGATACATAAACCTCTTTCCTCAGTTTCCTTATTTATTATAAATATTTAGACTAGATTTCTAAGTTTTGTCAGCTTGTGAGTTGATTTCTGAAGTGGCATGGGTGGTATTTCTATATACTAATTTAAGGTGGTAGTTCTCCCTACTTGTGGTCTTAATATACCTAACCACTGGGTACTTTAAACATAGAGTTCGTTTTAGTATTTGGTTTTAGTAATGTAGCAACCAGTTGGTATTTTAATAAGTTTCCTGTAATGACATTGAAAAGTTAAATGAAGTTATTGCTCATTTTTAGGTAGCACATTTGGGTGGTTGAATTTTTTATTAGAAGGATTGCATATACATAGAAATAGAATGCTTCTTATATTCATTTTTACTGTAGTTAATCTAATATCTGCTATCACTTTGAATCTTGAATACTAAGACAAGGTAGTGGTAAAATCATGCACAAAATACTTACCTTTATTTACATTCTGTTGTCTGTATTTAAAGGAAATTAGCCTACTTAATCACTAATGCTTTTTTTTAAGAAGAGGACAGATTACATGCTTTGAGTCTGTAGTGTTTTGTGTAAGATTCTAATTAAAGAGTGATGGTTTTCTAGGCTTGAGTTCTGAAAAAAAAAATCTCGTGTTCTGGGTTTAAATATTGAAGGCATAGAGGGCATTAGAGTTGTTTTAATCCTTTGAATGTTTGAGTGTTTTAAATATTCCTGGGAAGATAGAGTGCTCTATAATCAAGGAATGAAAAGAGTATTAAGAGATAAAAGTTGAAGTATGACTAATCAGATTTAGTACCAAGAATATAGATATAGGTACATATATCCCAATTTATTTAGCTAGTCCCTTCTTATTTAGATTACTATTACTTTTGTTCTTTGAGCTTTCATTAAAGGAATAAGTAGTTACAACATTTTTAAAGTTTTTAGGGTAGTGTTTTACAGTAAGGTAGCCAAGTACCTTTAGTATTAATGGTGCTTTGTTCATTACTTGATAAAATAATTTATTTAATTTTTTTTTAAGATTTTATTTATTTATTTGACAGAGATCACAAGTAGGCAGAGAGGCAGGCAGAGAGAAAGAGAGAGAGAGAGGAGGAAGCAGGCTCTCTGCTTAGGAGAGCCCTATGTGGGGCCCAGTCCCAGGACCCTGGGATCATGACCTGAGCCGAAGGCAGAGGCTTTAACCCACTGAGCCACCCAGGCGCCTGATAAAATAATTTTAAACTGATCTGAAATCTACCTAAAGAAAGAATAGATAGGTTAAAATTAGTTAGACTTTGTTAGAATTCAGTTGGACTTTAAAAATAATAGTTTTGTAAATTTTAATTTGTGTGTACTTTGTGACATATTCTGAGCACAACTATATGTAATGTTTATTGCCTATTATGGTAATTTATTGTTAATGCTTTTCCTCTGTTTTCTACCTTCAGGAGAAAGTAATTCAGCAATTTCTACAGAAGACCTAAAAGAATGTCTGAAGAAACAATTGGAATTCTGTTTCTCCCGGTATGTTATTCATATTCTTTTATTGAGATTTCTCATTTTTTGAATTGTTTGGTTAGTAGATGTAAAATACCTGTGAAATAGAGTGCAGTAATGGTGGTTTTAATTTCCTTCAGTAAAATACTTTCCTTATTTTTTGGTATATTCTTTATTATATTTCCTAACTAAATTTAAAGATGTAGTCTTTAATTGGATATGCAAAGGATCTAGTCTTAGTAGAAAGGTAATGAAATACTGGATTGGATTACTTTTGTTTTGGCTATTGGATACTTTTCCTATAAACATATTCAGGTTTAGGGTTCTCAAAACAGTGGTTATCTTTTTCCTTTTTTTTAAGATTTTATTTATTTATTTGTGCGAGTGAGAGAGCATGCACAAGCAGGGGGAGCAGCAGGCAGAGGAAGAAGCCAGGCTCTGTGCAGAGCAGGGAGCCTGATGTGGGACTTGATCCCAGGACCCTGGGATCATGACCTGAGCCAAAGGCAGATGCTTAACTGACTGAGCCACCCAGGAGTCCCTGCCTTTTTTTTTTTTTAAGATTTTATTTATTTTCGAGAGAGAGTATGTGCATGGGGCAAGGGGAAGGGCAGAGGGGAAGGGAGGAAGTTTGAAGCCAACTCTGCGCTGAGCACAAGCCTAAAATGGGCCTCAGTCTCATGACTCTGAAATTATGACCTGAGCCAAAACCAGGAGTCAGACACTTAACCAGCTGAGCCACCCAGGCACCCCTTGAGATGTCTTATTTACTGATAACAATTATGTAGGCATTTTTATAGTCTAGATGTCATAAAACTTCAGTATTGTAAAACTGCCCCTTCCAAAATAAAAGTTTTGTGCTCGCTTTGGCAGCACATATACTAAAATGTGAAACCCAAATAAACAAGTTTGGATATGTATGCAGAGATAATGCCTTCAGTTTTTCTTATATGTGGTGAGAGGTAGGACTGGTAAACCAAAAATTTTTCAAGCTAGAAACCTTGAATTTTATCAGACTTCTTTATGTCTTTTTTTTTTTTTTTAATTAGTTTACTTTTTAAGTAAACTCTATGCCCACCATAGGGCTTTGAACTCATGACCCTGCAGTCAAGAATACCATGTTCTACCGACTGAGCCAGCCAGGTGCCCTTAGACTTCTTAATTTCTTTACACATAATATACTCTTGACTCAGTTTTAATTGATACTTTGTTCTAAATAGCTCCTCCTTTTTCCCCTCCTTTTTTGCCTTTGTAGTCTTTGTAGTCTAGTACAGAATAAAACGATGAAAGTGGAAGTTTCTGTTGTTAGTCGTTTGTTCCTGCAATATAATTCATTTTCTGTAATATACTTGTCATAGTTATTTAAAAATCTTTGCCTACTGCTGGATCATTTGTACGTCTGCTTATATGTGAGTTTTTTCTCTTGGTTCTCTGTCATAATTTCCTGCCTTTTTGCATGTCTTACAAATTTTGATTATATGCTAGACATTACATATAAAAGCAGCTATGAGCTGCAAATGACAAGATTTTTCTCTCTAGACAAGATTTGAGCTTTCTTACAGGCAGAAGCGGATTGATTGCTTCAGTCCAGTCAGGAATTGAGCTGGGTTAGGACTAAGCAGCCACTTTAATTAGACTCAGTCTGCTTTGGATTTATCTCTGTTCTTTAGGCATGATGTCTTTAGTTTTTTGATTTAGGAGTTGTCTGTTTTCTGTTACCTCAATTCTGAAACACCAAGGGAGATTTAGTCCTGTTCTTGAGGGGTTTGAGATTAGCTCTTTAGTTTCTTCCCCTGTAACCCTCAAATTCTGGCATATGTCTTGGGAGATGGGGGGAGACCTGTCTTGTGTTTGATGCAAGTTTCTTCCTTTCACTGGAACTTCCACAAAACCACAGAGATATTACTCTGCCTTTTCATCCTGGCTCCCAGTCTCCCACCTTCCTTCTTTTTTTTTTTTTTTTTTTTTTTTTTTTAATAAAGATTTTATTTATTTATTTGACAGACAGAGATCACAAGTAGGCAGAGAGGCAGACAGAGAGAGAGGAGGAAGCAGGCTCCCCGCCGAGCAGAGAGCCCGATGCGGGGCTCGATCCCAGGACCCTGGGATCATGACCCGAGCCAAAGGCAGCGGCTCAACCCACTGAGCCACCCAGGCGCCCCATCCCACCTTCCTTCTTAAAGCTCAGGAAATGTTATGTGGAGGTAAATCTCCTGTACGTTAGGAGCTCCTTTAGTTTTCTTTTTTTCAATTTTTTTATTTTATTTTTTATTTATTAATTTTTTTATTTGATAGAGAAGAGATCACAAGTAGGCAGGCAGAGAGGGGGAAGCAGGCTCCCCGCTGAGCAGAGAGCCCGACGTGGGGCTCAATCCCAGGACCTTGAGATCATGACCTGAGCTGAAAGCAGAGGCTTAACCCACTGAGCCACCCAGGCAACCCCACTCCTTTAGTTTCCAATTCATAGTGCCAGTCCTGTGCAACTGCCTAAAGCTCTGCTCGTTTCTCCCTAGTCCCGGATCTGCAGACCCCCTCAGAAAAGAAAGGTCATCTTTCTGGAATTTTATTTTGTTCTTGTAGTTTCTGTCCTTCATCTCCAGAAATGTGATTTTTGTAATTTAGCCAGGCTTTTTAGTTGTTGCAGTAGGAACACTGGTTTGTCACGATCTACCACAGTTCAAACCAATTATGCGATTGATGCTTGTGGCTTCACAAAATTGTTACCAGTACCTATCAGGTGTTAGTCATGAGTAGTCAAATCACAAATGTGACTTATACCTGTTAATTTGATATGTTTATTTGGTAGATTAATTTAATATTCTGATGAGATGAAGTTTCTTAAGAGTTTGACCAAGGTTGGGGCACCTGGGTGGTTCAGTCAGTGAAGCATCTGACTTCAGCTCAGGTTATGACCTCAGCATCATGGGATGGAGCCCCACATCAGGCTCTGCACTCAACATGGAGTCTGCTTCTCCCTTTCCCTCTGACCCTACCCCTGCTCATGTATGATCACGCATACATGCACTCTCCCACTCTCACTCAAATAAGTTAAAATCTTTTCGAAAAAAGGTTTGGGACGCCTGGGTGGTTTAATCATTAAGCATCTGCATTTGGCTCAGGCCATGATCCTAGGGTCCTCGGATCAAGTCCCACGTGAGGCTCCCTGCTCAGTAGGGAGTCTGCTTCTCCCTCTACCTCTCCTCCTCCGTGCTTGTGATTGCTCTCTTTTTCAGACAAATAAAATCTTAAGAAAAGAAAAAAGGTTTCACCAAGTTTTTATAAGAACAGATATGCTGAAAGTCAGAGTTGGTTCAGGCTACAATTTTTTAGTTGTGTAAGCCTGGGTGGCTTATTCAGTTTAGTGTCCGGCTTTTGATGTCAGCTCAGGTCGTGATCTCAGGGTTGTAGATCATACCCATGTCGGGGTCTTGGGCATAGAGCCTGCCTAAGATTCTGTCTCTCCCTCTCCCTTTACTCCTCCTTCTCCTCCCCTCTCTAATAAACAGCAAAAAAAGGTGTTATTACTATATTACTATGTTCCTCCTTTTATGCTAAAGTGAGTTTAACCTTTGCTGGTATCTTCTCTATTATTTTTTGCCCCAAAACAACCTGTTGACAATTGTAATTTTTAAAAAGTAATTGCTTCTGGACAGCTGGGTGGCTCAGTGGGTTGAGCCACTGCCTTCAGCTCAGGTCATGATCCCAGGGTCCTGGGATCAAGCCCTGCCTCAAGCTCTCTGTTCAGCAGGGAGCCTGCTTCCTCCTCTCTTTTGCCTGCCTCTCTGCCTACTTGTGGCCTCTGTCAAGTGGATGAATAAAATCTTTAAAAAAAAGTAATTGCTATTATTTTAACAACACTTGAGTGTAGAGACCTTTGGCCCTACCCTTTGCCAGGCACTAGGGCCTTGAAATACATTATGAAGGGACGCCTGGGTGGCTCAGTTGGTTGGGCGGCTGCCTTCGGCTTGGGTCATGGTCCCGGAGTCCTGGGATCGAGTCCCACATCGGGCTCCTTGCTCAGCGGGGAGCCTGCTTCTCCCTCTGCCTCTGCCTGCTAGTCTGTCTGCCTGTGCTCGCTCTCTCTCCCTCTCTCTCTGACAAATAAATAAAATCTTAAAAAAAAAAAAAAAAAGAGATACATTATTAATAACAAAGATTTTTCATGGAACCTATGTTCTGGCTGGAGGAGACAAAACAAACATAATTTTTTTTTTTTTTAAGTGAAGTAAACAGTTTAGAAGTGTGCTAAGTGATAAGTGCTATGGAAAAAAATTTAGAACCCTGTAAGCAAGAGAAGGGGAATCAAGACTGCTTGGGTGGTTTCAGTTTTAAATAGGGTCACTGAGAAAAGGGGCTTTTAAGCAAAAACTTGGAACTATAACTAGACTGCTTCAAAGATCTGATGTGAATAAGACAAATGAGTATGATTTTACTTCAGTTTGTTACATAAGATTTTATATGTAAGATAGAAATGTTTAGATCTTTTTTAGAAATGTATCTTAAAGAATCTTTTAATTTTAAATGTTTTAAATTTAAGGGGCGCCTGGGGGGCTCAGTGGGTTAAAGCCTCTGCCTTCGGCTCAGGTCATGATCCCTGGGATCCTGGGATCGAGCCCCACATCGGGCTCTCTGCTTAGCAGGGAGCCTGCTTCCTCCTCTCTCTCTCTCTGCCTGCCTCTCAGCCTCCTTGTGATCTGTCAAATAAATAAAATCTTAAAAAATAATAATAATAAATAAGTGTTTTAAATTTAAGTAAAAAGTCAAACATACTTAAAAAATAACAAACATTCAGAAATTTTAAATCCTTTACAGTTAAACTTCATATGCATATTCTAACATCAATGATAAAGTGTTTATAAGATGGAGCTACACTGTATGTAAAATTTTATTAAGCCTCTTTCCATATCAGTATAATTCCATAAGGTTCTCTTGTTCAAAACTTTTGGGCATGATGTATTTGGTGATTCAGAAACATTATGAAAGTTGTTAGAGTATCTTTGTTATATATTATATATTTTCATAGTTCACAGTGTTATTTGCAGTAGCAAAATTTTGTTTAACCAGACTTAATGACAGAAGTGAATAAGGGACCTCTTTAGATGATTTTTGAGAATTCTTTGCTTTATGGGACTCTTGCTTTTGTTTATTCCTTTCAGAGAAAATTTGTCAAAGGATCTTTACCTGATATCTCAAATGGACAGTGATCAGTTCATACCAATTTGGACAGTTGCCAACATGGAAGAAATTAAAAAGCTGACCACAGACCCTGATCTAATTCTTGAAGTGTTGAGATGTATGTAAATCATACCTTTTAGCTTATTTTTTATTTAAAGTAAAAAAACTAAGTTTTCTTTTGATTTCTGGTCAAGCAGGGAATTTTTTGTTTTTATTGGCCATTTATTTTTATTAAATTGTAGTTGACATGCAATGTATTTTTTCAGGTATACAACATAGTGATTCCACAATTCTATACATTAAGCTGTGCTCACAGGCAGGGAATTGTTAGCTCCCTGTTTTTTGTTTTTTTGTTTTTTCTGTTCCAATAATTTTATCTTTTTATTTTTACTGACTTGGTATATAGCTTCTATATCAGTTCTGTACCTTGGTTGTTCGTCTTGATACCCACTTACTCGAAAATAAGCAATTAAATCTCAGTTTTCTGGGCTATTAGAAAGTTATATGTATCATTACTACATCTTCTAAAGCATTGTTTCAAACTTTTGAACCCAAGTAATAAGTACATTTTACCTTATAGCCCAGTACACACACCACATATCCCTACACAACTGAAATGTTATTCAGATTAATACTAAATGCTTGGAATTAACTTTTTTCTAAATTGATTTCACAATTTAAAGAATTGCAGTCTGTAGTTTGACAAATACTTCTGTAAAGTTTGGTAAAGAATTTGAGGTTTTAAGCATTTTTAATGGTGTTTGTGTCTTGTATCAGGATTTCTTGCTAACCTTTCTTAGCAGAACCTTGCCAAAGTTTTTTTTTTTTTTTTTAAGATTTTATTTATTTATTTGATAAGAGCGAGACCACAAGTAGGCAAAGAGGCAGGCAGAGAGAAAGGAGGAAGCAGGCTCCCTGCCGAGCAGAGGGCCCGATGCGGGATTCAATCCCAGGACCCTGAGATCATGATCTGAGCCGAGGGCAGATGCTCAACCCACTGAGCCACTCAGGCACCCAAACCTTACCAAAGTTTTAACCACTTGATCGAGTAAAGGCAGCTCTTCACTTTTATATGAAATATGTTGTTGAAAATGTTTAAAAGTTAAATATACCAAGTCCCATAATGGGCTTTTATGAGAGTAGAAGATTTCCATTCTCAGAGGGCTAAAAACATTTATGAAATCTCTTTTTGTGTAGTGGTTTCTTTAAAAAAAAACCAGTCTTGGCATCAGAAAAAAATCAGCCAAGAGACTAGCAGAATCCTCTACCTCGAGGGCTAGAACCTAGTCCTAAACCCAGCTCTTCTTCTCTGTTCCTTTTATTCTCACTACTTACTTCTTCAGAGAGATGTGGCATATTATCTCTGAAGGAACTGGAAATAAAAGTTTTGGTTAGATAATACTATCTTCATTAGGTATTTCCTCAAAATCAGCATCTAAAGGATGGCTTCTCAGTATCTGTACTAGTCTGTAAGAATAAATTGTTAAAATCAAAGGAAAGTTATAATCATTTGAGTTCAATTCTTGGTTTTAAGTGCCTCTTAGACTTGAATTTTAAGAAGAATTTCTTTGTATGTCAGAATGCAGTACTGTAGTCCAGTTACAAGAGTGGAATGCAAATGCACTGATTAATACACTTCTTATCTCCAGAAATACAGAATTCAGTAATTGTACACAGGGTAATTTTACCTTGTTAGTTATGTATTATATACTCCTGAAGAGTTTTTCAATGCCAAGACACAAAGTAGGTACTCTATATATTTGTTCAAAGAATAACATTTGACAGTGTTTCTTGTATATTAATTTCAAAATATTTTGTTAGAACTGTAATCTTTGGTTCTACAATTTAATTTATTGAGGATATTAACCTCTGCTAATTTATTCACTTGGAAATAGAAATGAATAGTTTTTAATGGCAATATTAAAATCTCACCTTGTCACTTTTGAATGAAACACTTTTTTAAATTTCAGCTTCTCCTATGGTACAAGTTGATGAAAAGGGCGAGAAAGTGAGACCTAGTCATAAGCGTTGTATTGTGATTCTTAGAGAGATTCCTGAAACAACACCTATAGAGGTAAATTATTAAGCATTGTTAAAGTTAAGTGTTCTTTAACTGTTTAAAGTGAAGATAAACGAAGTGTCAGTGCCCTCATATCAATTATGTGAATAGGATAAATTTTGTTTTGTAAATTCTGAAGCACTAGAAGAATGGCACAAAGGGAGGAGGAAGATGATAATTCCATGTTCTTAGAATGGTAGACTGAGTATTGCCGTGTTACTAGTTCTCAGTTTGTTCATTTGACTGGCAATTTAAATATAAAAGGGCTCTTTTGGGAACTTGAGGATTCATCCGAAAGAATACACTTAGGAATGAAGAAGAAAAATATAAGAGTCAAGACTTAATTCTGTTAGCCGGCAAATATAAAGAAGAGTTGTGGTCATAAATGTGGTGTGGTACAGGTACAGGAATAAAATAATATTTGAATGGAACAATATAATCCTGAAATAGACTCTTTGATTTAGTAATGAATTTATGATAACATTTATTTAATAATTAGATTCTACCAGGTATTGTGCCATGTACTTTATGGTAATATAAAGCCTAAGGTTTTGTTATCTCTGTTTTACAAATAAAGTAACTGAGCCTTAGTATAGTTAAATAATTTGCCTAAGGTCACATGGCCTGTTTGAATGACAGAATCTGATTTGAACTCGCTCTCTGTGATTCCAAAGCCCATGTTTCTTAACCAGTAAACCATAGGACTTCACACTAAGTTGGCATGTTAATGATAATAAGTTAAAGATGGAGAGGACTAATTAGTAGCTGATATGTGGTAATTGGTTAGCCATTTAAAAAAGAATTTTTAGACTTGCCAGCTAACAAACTTGGCACATTAGTAGTTAATCTTTTTGCCCAGATTCATTCAATATTAATTAACTCTCCAGAATGAAGATTTCCTAAACTTAGAAACAGTGAGAGAAATTAGAAAAGAAACTGTCACTAGATAGATGTTCTATTTAAAATTATGAACTATATGTCAAAAGTAACAAGTTGAAAGGAAAATTGCACAATGGGAAGAATATTTGCATTATTAAGAAACAGTGTAGAATATATGAGCCTGAACTCTAGAGCCAAGCTGCCTGGATTTAAATTCCAGCTTTTTACTTGATAGCTCTGTGACCTTGCGTTAGTTACTTAACCTCTTTTGCTTTGGTTTTTTCCATCTGTTAAATGGGATAATAGTAATAAGTAACTCATAAAATTGTGAGATATAAGTGAATTAGTATATAAAAAACTTAGAGCAGTACTTGGCATGTAAAACAGATCTAAGATTAGCCAGTACTATCATTTTTATAGTTATTGTAATTTATATTCTGAATACATAAACAGGTCACACACATGAAGAGCAATAAATGAAAAGGAACAAGGCAGCAACATACTGTTCATTAAAAAAAAAGTAAAGGAAGTGTAGATAACTAAGATAGCTAGAGAGAGCCTAGGCAGTAGTCCCTGAAATGCACATTAAAATGAGAGATTTGGGGTGGTGACAAAAGATTACTATCAGGTAGAACAAATTACTTTAGATCCAGACTTCTTTTTTTATACTTGGGAAAGTTAATCTGTAAACATATACAACTCTTCCTAAAGAATAATAAAGGCTAAAAATAAAAAGATCTAAATAAATAAGTCAATTCATTTCACAGATAATTAGAAATATTTAGAGAATATCTATGGATTTTTGAAGGTAGAGATCAGTGGAATGCAATCTAACACTTCCACAGATAGTTCTATAGAAATGTAATTCTGAACTGGATGAGAATTTTATTAACTGAACTTGGTGATATTTCACCACTTTCACTAATGTCACAAAACTCGGCTGGTTGCACACTACTTATTTCGAGTATATTTGACCCAAGCAAATTTCATCATAAGTAGAGATGTTATTTTTGTAATTCAGTGTAGTAAAAATTTGAGGGAGTTAGAATACAGGTTAGACTTCATTGTGAACATTGATTGTCCCATCAGCTTAGTAATTACCTTTTTAAAAATGGATACCTTGTGATATGTTGGTATTTTATGGGCATTTTAGCCTAGTAAGATTCTTTATGTTTGGGAATTACTAGTTATTAGTGAATTTCTCATTGAACTCAAATAGGTATTAAACAAAATGGAGTTTGGAGGCATATAAATCTGGGTTTGAGTTCTTGTTTGTGATAGTGTGAGTAGGTTAAACAGTTTGAGCTACCATTTCCTCACCTGTAAAGTGGATATGATAAGATCTTTAAAACAGGATTGTTTTCAGGTTAAATCTATGTCTTATCCTGCATGGGATTTCAGTAGATGTTTTCTTTCTCTCTATAACCGTTTAGAGATACTAATGTTGACTTCCAGTTGTTTTCTTTCTTTTCTTTTTATAAACTTCCTTCAAGCTGTTAAACTGTGTTAAACACAGTTCTAAGTTTTGGTAATCGATTTTTTAAAAATGCATATATTTGTTACAGTTTTCAATTATTGAATTTCAGTTTCAGTTATGGAAAAGGGAAGATACTTTTGCACAGAGTTCGTGTCTGTAACTCTGGTGTAGACAGAGCATCTGGATTGAATGAGAATGCATCCAAATAAATACTAAGCACTAGAAAATGTTAATGGAGGACATACTTTTCATTTTTTGGATAATGGCAGGTCTAGAAAGATTGTACTGTTAAGGAAAATTTAGCTTGCCACTAAGAGTGTGATGAAATGCTTCAGTTTTGCTGATACTAAAATAAGATTCTATCTCTAAATCATATATAAAATTTACACTAAAGTTTTTCTTTCTTAGGAAGTTAAAGCTTTGTTCAAGAATGAAAACTGCCCAAAGGTGATAAGCTGTGAGTTTGCACACAATAGCAACTGGTATATCACTTTCCAGTCAGACACAGATGCACAGCAGGTAAGAAGAAAACTTTTCTTCTGATTTGAAGTCCTGGTGGTAAAAGTAGTAGTATATTTTAACTGAGAAAATATGTGCTCATGGCAGTATTTGTAAAGACTATTGAGCACCTTGTTCACCTTTTTGGTTGTGCTTCTTCTTCTTCTTCTTTTTTTTTTTTAAGATGTTATTTATTTAGGGGCACCGGAGTGGCTCAGTGGGTTAAGCCTCTGCCTCCGAAGGCAGAGGCTTAACCCACTGAGCCACCCAGGCACCCCTTGGTTGTGCTTCTTAATTGGTTTCCTTTCTGATCATTTTCCTAAAGCTTTTTCAATTTCGATTTAAGAAGTTTATTTCCTATCAGTAAAAAAATTAAAACAATTTTGAAATTAATTTAAAGATTGGGAACCATGTACTCAGTAGTTGGTATTTCTAGTACGTACATACTAGGCCCACAATAAATACGTAACTTCCTTTCTGATTCTTGGAATTTTGATATTAATGATTTTACTTTTGTTGTCATGTCCAACTTAAAGAGTAATAATCCCTTGAAACAAAAGAAAACCAAAAATATATCTAATAGCATTTTAAAACCACTCACTAATTGATTGATTGATTTTTAAAGTAAACTCTACCCCCAGTGTGGGGCTCGAAATCATGACCCCAAGATCAAGAATTGCATACTCCGCCAACTGAGCCAGCGAGGCGCCCCTCTGGTTTTACGTGTTTTTTTTTTTTTTTTTTAATTATTCATCTTAGAAAACTGTCTGATTGAACCATTATATATAGTGAAATTTGGGGTCTATTTTGACTTTTGTGCATCTTTTCCTGCATTAATCCATAGTAGCTAATCTACAGTAAATGTGAACTTATGCTGGGGTGTTTTTACTTTCTCATTCCTTATCACCTGCATAATGGAATTGACTTCAGAATTTTTTATTGTTTAGTTTGGAGATGATTGCTAATATCAAACTTGATAGAATAAAGATGGCGTTAATGAAATGTTTGAATGCTAATAAAAGTTCCTTTCTGCTTTGTTAACAGGCTTTTAAATATTTAAGAGAAGAAGTTAAAACATTTCAGGGCAAGCCAATCATGGTAAGAAAATGTTTGTAAGTATAGAGCTAGTGTGAAGCCAGAAAGTTTTTGTTGCTTGTCTGTTTGAGAATTTAAAACACATATGCATGATAATGGATAATAATAAAACGTGCAATGATTTTTTTTTTCCCTGCAATGATTTTAAAGAAATTTTATATGATGTGCTAGAAAATTAGCTGTTAGGTTAACAGTTATTTCCAAAGGCCTGCCTTTAGAAAGCATGAAGTTTTAGTTAGATGCTGATTGATAACTTTTAAGATAATTAAAATGAGGATTAGGGATAATTTTTTAGTAAAAAAGGTGGAAAATATTCTCAATATTGTCACTCTCATCTCAAAATTAATTGCATCACCACACTGATGTTCATCTGCTTGGGAATCTAGAAATTATTGATGACACTTGCTCACTGTCTTTACAGGTCTTATCTTTTCTCAGATCCCGTGGAATCTACCTTTATAACTTGTTTCAATTATTACTGCTTTGTTTAGGCTTGAACAGTTAGAGTACCTTTTAACTGTTAATGCCGTTAGCTTTTCCCCCACTTTTTCATTCTCCCATTGCTACGAGAGCTACCATCTAAAACAGAGTCATAGGGCACCTGGTGGCTCAGTTGTTTAAGCATCCAACTCTTGATTTTAGCTCAGCTCTTGATCTCAGGTCAGGAGTTCAGGTGCCACATTGGATTCCAACATACTTTTAAAAAATAATAAATACATAAAATAGAATCCCAAGCATTCACTTAATTTGGTACTTACGGTTACTTTTACATGCTACTTATTCCATATGTAATGCGCGGTGATTATTTGTGTAATACAATATTGTATTACACAATGTAATGTAATACAATATTCTTGCTCTGTTGAGCTCTTAACATGTATCAGTTTCTGTTCTAAACACTACTAAACTGAGCTACCAGCTGAGCTACTGATCTCTTTAAAAATGTCACTGTCTGCAGGAATCTTGCTGAATTACTTTATTATATCTAATGGAGAATATCAGAGAGTATGTCATCTACAAATAATCATTTTGATTACTCCTTATACCTCCCATTTCTTACAGTTGATTGGGATTTTTTTGAGATCTTATTATTTATATAGAGTCATTTAATTCTTACAAAAACTTCATATGGTAGGTACTCTTGTTTTCTCCATTTTGTGGTAAGGAAAGTGAGGTAATGAAAGTTACCTACCCAGTTTCACACAACTAGTAACTAAACCAAGATGAGAGAGGCTTACATTTATTAAGAGAATGTATATCAGGCATTGTTCTAAGGACTGGACATATTTAAATCTCATTATTGATGTGTGATAGGTGGTATTATTACTTTCTACTTTAGAGATGAAGATACCTGCCATTTGTCAATCTATTTCCTCTGCTTCCTATTATCTCCCTCCCCTACTTGAGGCTATAAAGACTTCTAGGTCTTCTGGTAGCTTTAAAATTTTATATGTCAGCTTTGGGTCTTTGATACATTTGGAATTAATTTGATATACAGGATATGATAGGAGTCTAATTTTTTTCCATATATGTAAAGGCAGGTGTCTCAACACCAAACAATTTGTTGAACGGTCTGTGCTTTCACAACTTGTGTGTGATGTTGCATCTATCAGATTTGCTTTAGGGTTCTCTATTCGATCAGTCTTGTCTTGTCCTTTTTTTTTTTTTTTTTTTAAAGAATTTATTTATTTGGGGCACCTGGGTGGCTCAGTGGGTTAAAGCCTGTGCCTTCAGCTCAGGTCATGATCCCAGGGTCCTCGGATCGAGCCCCCATCGGGTACTCTGCTCAGCGGGGAGCCTGCTTCCCTTCCTCTCTCTGCCTGCGTCTCTGCCTACTTGTGATCTCTATCTGTAAAATCAATCAATCAATCTTTTTAAAAATTTTATTTATTTGACAGAGAGTGAGAGAAGGAGAGAGCGCACAAGCAAAGGGAGAGGGGGAAGCAGGTTCCCTGCTCAGCAGGGAGCCCGATGGGAGACTAGATCCCAGGACCCTAAAATCATACCTGAGCCGAAGGCAGAGAGGCTTTAACCCACTGAGCCATCCAGGTGCCCCTATCAGTCTTTTCTTTATTGAACCAATACCACTGTTTTAATTATCATAGGTTTAGAATGTCTTTATGTACTTGAGAAAATCATCCCTCCTTACCCATATTTTTTGACTGTCTTGGTTATTCTGAGACCATTTTTTCCATATGACTTTTAGAATGTCTAATATTAACAAACCATATTGGAATTATGGAACTTTATTTGATTTATTGGAGACAGCGGCAGTTTTACCTTGTATTATTCAATATTACGGTAGCATCATAATTTCTCTATTAATTGAGGTCCCTTGTGTTTTATAATTTCCTGAAATTTTGTTGCTTTTCCGCTCTTCCTGGTATCTTAGTAATCTTTATTTATTTATTTATTTACTTATTATTTTAAGAGTTTATTTCTTTATTAGAGAGGGAGCAAGTGAGAGACAGATAACAAGCGGAGGGGGAGGGGCAGAGGGAGAAAGAAAGAAGCAGACTCCCTGCTGAGCAGAGAGCTGGGATCATGACCTGAGCTGAAGGCAGATGCTTAACCAACTGAGCTACCAACTGAGCTACTGATCTCTTTAAAAATGTCACTGTCTGCAGGAATCTTGCTGAATTACTTTATTATATCTAATGGAGAATATCAGAGAGTATGTCATCTACAAATAATCATTTTGATTACTCCTTATACCTCCCATTTCTTACAGCTGATTGGGATTTTTTTTGAGATCTTAGGTATAATCTTAAAAAACATATGTATCTTTGGACACCTGGGAGGTTTGGTTGAGTGTCCAAATTATTTCTGGCTCAGGTCATAAGAGATTGAGCCCTGTGTCAGGCTCTGCGCTCAGCTAGGGAGTCTGCTTCTCTCTCTCCCTTCTCCCTCTGCCCCTCCCCAGGCCATGCATGCATGCATGCTCTTTTTCTTTTTCTCTAAAATAAATAAATCTTTTTAAAACATACATACTTTGTTATAAATATTATTATTTCTCTGCCATTTTGGCTTTTGTTTGTGGTTCCTTTAATTAACCATCACATAGCAATGTTCTTGCTAGGAGATTGACAGATTCACATTAATTTTTGTATCATTCATTAAAACCAAATGACCGGGGCACCTGGGTGGCTCAGTTGGTTAAGCGACTGCCTTCGGCTCAGGTCATGATCGAGTCCCACGTCGGACTCCCTGTTCAGCAGGGAGTCTGCTTCTCCTGCTGATCTCTCTCCTCTCATGCTCGCTTGCTCGCTCGCTCTCAAATAAATAAATAAAATCATTTAAAAAATTAAAAAAAAAAATAAAACCAAATGACCTAGCCCAGAAAGACAGGTGCAGGAGCCAGAAATCCTATATTCCAACCCTTGATGCAGCTTTCAGCCCCAAGCTCTTTGATCTTGGACATGTCAAGTTACCTCTAAGGACCTGGTTTATTTCTTTGAAGTATGCATGCTTTTCATTTCTGAGATTCTGTGATTCATAAGCAGTGATCTTGGAAGACAGAGGGATTAAGTGAATAATGTTTGTCCACCTGTTGATAATTTCATTAAGAAGCGGTGCTTCATCCTGTTTTAATTGACTTTCTATAACTTTGAGAATATTAAGTTTTATTTCAGTGTCATATAGATGATATATATTATAGAATATGTCATATAGAATATATATATATTCCTTTTATATATTTTAGACTTTGAAGTGTGAAAATAATACTTGTATGTCATAAGAAAGTCAGGCAGTATTAATTAATAGTTAATTAATTGTCTCCCTTTTCCAGATTCCTCTAGTCCTTTCCCCCAGAGGTGATGAGAGTGTTTCTGTATCTGTGTAGGAATTTTCTTTCTTTGAATGATTAAGAATGTACAGTAGACTCTCTTTTGCTGTTTTCAGTTAATAGATCTTTGTGGCAGAGGGGGGCAGGAGGGGAGGAGGAACCCACCATGAAAGACCTACAGAAAACAAATACCTAAAGTGGAAGAAGTATCTTTCCATATCCGTAATTACTTTAATGTGAATTAAACTTGTCCATATTTGCAAAAATTCTATTTCCCAATTGTCTAGCAAATATTTCACATTATTATAACGTGAAGAAGTAGTCAAATGAGTAAGAATGAGGGAGAAACCATATTCTATCATATTCCCATGGTATTAAAAGGCAGAGACGGGGTGCCTGGGTTGCTCAGTGGGTTAAGACTGCCTTCGGCTTGGGTCGTGATCTCAGAGTCTTGGGATCGAGCCCCGCATTGGGCTCTCTGCTCAGCGGGGAGCCTGCTTCCTTCTCTCTCTCTGCCTGCCTCTCTGCCTACTTGTGATCTCTGTCTGTCCAATAAATAAATAAATAAATCCTTTTAAAAAATAAATAAATAAAAGGCAGAGACTGGGACGCCTAGGTGGCTCAGTGGGTTAAGCTTCTGCTTTCAGCTCAGGTCATGATCCCAAGGTCCTGGGATCGAGTCCCACATCGGGCTCCTTGCTCAGCAGGGAGCCTGCTTCTGCCTGCTGTTCTCCCTGCTTGTGCTCGCTCTCTTGTTCTCTCTCTCTCTCTCTTCCTCTCTGACAAAGTCTTTTAAAAAAGGGAGGGGGGCGCCTGGGTGGCTCAGTGGGTTAAAGCCTCTGCCTTCAGCTCAGGTCATGAACTCAGGGTCCTGGGATCGAACCCTGCATGGAGCTCTCTGCTCAGTGGAGAGCCTGCTTCCCCCTCTCTCTGCCTGCCTCTCTGCCTACTTGTGATTTCTCTATGTCAAATAAATAAATTTTTTTTTTTAAAAAGGGCAGAGACTGGCAGATTGAATTAAAAAAACAAGATCCATCTATATGCTGTCTTGTATAACAGATTCATTTTAAATTCAGAGACACTGAAAGTCACAGGATGGAAAAGGACGTTCCAAGTAAATAGTAACCAAAATACATCTAAGGGGTGCCTGGGTGGCTCAGTGGGTTAAAGCCTCTGCCTTTGGCTCAGGTCATGATCCCAGGGTCCTGGGATCAAG